CCATTGGTTCTTTACTTGTCGGCGAACCTATGCAGAGACTCGCCCTCGTGCGCTGCCGCGCGCCGGCAGAGGTCGACGGCGGCGGCGAGGTGGTGGAACGCGTCGGTGGCGGTGCTGCCGCCCTGCGAGCACCACTCCTAGTCATCAGTTCATCCATGATGAACTCACGACCAGCGAGCGGTGCTGCCGCCCCGCCCGCACTGCTCCTCGAGCGGCGCGGCCGTGGGCGTCGAGACGGCGAGCAGCCCTCGCGCAAGGCCGCCTCCTCCGCCGCTCGGCGAGAATGGGGCGGGGGATGGCCCAGCATGCGCCTGCTAGAGGCGCAGCCGAGGTGCAGCCGAGGTGCAGCCGAGGCGCAGCCGAGGTGCAGCCGAGGGGCAGCCGAGGGGCAGCCGAGGTGCAGCCGAGGTGCAGCCGAGGGGCAGCCGAGGGGCAGCCGAGATGCAGCCGAGGTGCAGCCGAGGTGCAGCCGAGGGGCAGCCGAGGTGCAGCCGAGGGGCAGCCGAGGGGCAGCCGAGGTGCAGCCGAGGTGCAGCCGAGGTGCAGCCGAGGTGCAGCCGAGGTGCAGCCGAGGTGCAGCCGAGGGGCAGCCGAGGCGCAGCCGAGGGGCAGCCGAGGGGCAGCCGAGGGGCAGCCGAGGGGCAGCCGAGGGGCAGCCGAGGGGCAGCCGAGGGGTGGCGGAGAGGTTGGCGGCGCTATGGCGCGGGCCTGCGCCGCCAGAGCGATGACATAGGTGAGCGCGGCCGCCGCGCCCGCCGCCGCCGAGGGCGCGCCGCCGCCGGGAGAGGAGTACCCCGGCGGCGCAGCCTCTTTGCGCCACGGGACAGCCACGCCCTCCACCGCCGACACCCACTCGCGCGGAGGAGGAGGAGGAGGAGGAGGCGGCGGCGGCGGCGGCGGCGCGGCGGCAGACTCGGGCGCGGCGGCGTGTGGAGGGGCGAGGAGGCGGACGAGGGCGCAGGTGAGCAGTCGGAGCTCGAGCGAGGTGGGGAGCAGGGACGAGAGAGACTGGAGGAGGCGCGCCAGCCCGGCCGCCTGTGGGTCAGAGAGAGAGGAGCGGCGGGCTGGCGACACCGGCGGGCTGGACGACACAGCCACGAGGAGGGTCGGGGGCTGGGTCGGGGGCTGCGGCATCTGGCTCGTGGAATCGAAGGGCATCTAAGGGCATCTGAGGGGCATCTTCTAGGCCGTGCCTCGTGGGTGGTTGGCGGCCTGTCCGGCAGCAGGCAGAGGAAGAAGAGGGCGCGCGTGAGGAGGAGCAGGTCAGTCCGGCGCCTCTCCGCACGAGCCTGTGGGGGGGGGGGGTGTTGAGGAGGGGGGGGGGGGGGGGAGATAAAAATATAGACAGAGACAGAATGAGATAGAGACAGAGAGTCAAGGTGAGAGCGAGATACAGACAGAGTGAGAGAGAGAGACAGACCCAGATTCCGAGAGCGAAAGGCACATCCTAACTCGGTTCTGGGGGAAAAAGCGGTGGGCGGGGCCAATTGGGGTATTCTTTGGGGGGGGGGGGGGG